AACATGACGATTCCTACACTGGGCAGTGGGGTTGACTAGATGCTCCCCAAAATCCCTTCCAAACCTATGATTCTATGATGTGACTCCCACACACAGAAATTTGTGCATGCAGAGGAGGAAAACAAAACCCACTTCCCCTCTTTCCTTTGGTGCCTTTTTTGGACTTTTCAGCTTGGCTTTGGACAAAAAGGATACTTGTTAGATTTTTACATTTTAAAACAGGCTTAGCCATGAACCAAATGTGTGGCCTCCCCCAGCCCAATTGTACTGGGTGATAAAGCACAAATGTTTGATGGTGAGATTTTTATTTTGGAGGCCAAATATGAAACAATGTGCTATTTCTGAGCAAAGCCTCTATTCTAACAAAGAAGACTCAAATGCCCCTAGTTATCAAGAAGCTTCTCTTTCCATTGATATCTGCTTTGCGTAAATCCCTGATGGTAAAAATGGCTCAGAAGTGAAGGCTAATGAATTGTTTTAAGAGCCCTTTGGAAGAAGAGTCATGGTTCAGTAAGCCAAATTCTAAACTGTTTCCTCTCAATCTTGGAGTTACTAAAAGACTTCAGTGCAATTTTTTTTGTGCTTTTGGAAAATAGGAGATTCAGTGAAGTTGCAGTGGGGATTGAGAAGGTAGAAGAAGGGAATGAAAAAGAAGCCCAAGAAGCCCAAGGATTCATTCCGATCTCTTCCTGTGCAGAACCTGCCAGTCCTTTCAGCTCTCCATCAGAAATTCAAGAATCTGCAGATTCCTTGTTCACTAGACGTCAAAAACCCAGCAAACCATTGGGTGAAATTTCTGCTATGATAACAGCCAGTGAGCTGCTGCTTAACAGGCAAGGCATATTCCATTAAGCTTTTATTAAGACTGCTTTGTGACCTCAGGTTGCTTTTGAAGGGCATACATTCAAGATTGCAAAATCCTTAGGCCCAGTATATTTCAGAGAGTGCCTCTTGTTCACTCTTCTGACACAACCCAGAACATGTTCTCTAACACAGTGACTGAAATGCTGAGAGCCATAATCCCAACACATTTGGAAGACTTCAGGTTGGGGAAGGCTGGCCTAATAAATGTACCTTAACAATCCCCAATGGGGAAAAAGATGGAAGATATGTTCATGATGGCTGCATCTAAAATTCAGGATATTATTTATTCTAGAGTATATGCCAGCTGCTACAGTATATATGCTCTTAGTTACAGTAATTAATTACATTTCTTTTGTGCTTTTTCCTTAAATATGGTCTAGCACTTTTCATGACCATGAGCTGGAACAATCAGATAAATTTTACCAGTGCCTTCCTTGCCTCTTGAAGCTGGGAGCTGCTTTGTACCATGTTATGGTCTCTACATCAGAAATGCTATGTTATTTTGCTATCGTTCTCAACCACATGATTTCTGCTTCCATTCTTACTTTGGTTCTACCCATCTTGATATTCCTGTGGCCCATGCTGTCCATTCCAAGGCCTACCAAATTCTTCTGGATGACAGCAATCATTTACACAGAGGTAAGTGTCAATAGTTACTGCATTTAGTTGCTGTACTCTTCTCTGTCCATCACTTTCATTCCATGCTGAGCTTCACTGAAATAAAGAGTTGATTCAGGCACTAAGAGGTCTCAAGCCTACCTGGAAATCTTAGTCTCTGACTTGGAAGCAGCTATTGGGCACATTAGGAAGGAAGGAAGCTAGAGCAGAACATGGCAACAAGATCTGCGACAAAAAGGAGGCAAGGAGCATCTTCAAACACAGGACTTTGAATTAATGGTGATTTGTATCTGGAATATATGTCCTCCCTGCTCATAATTCTGGGAAATTAGTTTGATTATCTGGCATGGATAAAGGAGAAAACTCTTATTTCAGCTGAAACTTGCAAGGTAAATTTGAATATGATCCCACAGTTTCCATGATCTTTCTCCTTTGAAAAGATGATCATTAAGTAAGCAGGATAAAAGTAAGAGGCCTGTGTCATAGAACAGAACAGTACCTCTACTCTAGCACTGCTTAATGTTTTAGAAATCTTGAAGAATTGTCATTTCATAATAATAGGATAATCTACATATGTTTCCTTCCTCTGCCAGGTAACAATTGTGATCAAATTTATTTCCCAGTTTGGATTCTTTCCTTGGTCCTCTGAGATATATTGTAGTATCAGTGCAGAAGCCCCATTTGCTTTGCCAAATATAGCTGGGATTGAGAAGAAAGATGGATATGCACAGTATGATCTGGTGCAGCTCCTGGCCTTGTTTTTCCACAGGTACATCTTGAAGGTACTGCAAACTCTTCTTAATAAGTAAAAAAGAAGACTCTAATCAGCCATTTTTGAGCATGGATTTGTTAACATGTAGTATAGCAGACATCTATAATAACATCAGAAGAGTCCTGTAAGCCAAGAACCTGTCTAGTCCAGTATCTTGTCCCTAGGGTGATCCAGATTTTGATCACCCATGGTGATCAGTCAGTTTCCCATAGTGATCAGCCATGTCTCACCAGCAGAACATTGATGCAATAGAACGTGATACTTATATTTCCTAGCAGATGGTAATGTCATGGCAAATATATTGCCTTTGATACTGCAGCTAATGTAGAAGTATCACGCCCATTGGCAGCCTTATGCTCCATTAATTTCTTTAACTACCCAACTTCTGGAAGCAAGAAATTCTATAGTTTGGCCAAACATTTTATAATAAAAAAAATTTTTTTGGTCTCTCCTGAATGCCCAGTTGTTTTGTACTATCATGAGAAAGACAGAGATGTTCCTTGCTGTGGATATTCTTTACACTTTTCTTTCCTTTCCCAATCTTTTCCCTTTCCCATGCTGTAACTTTTTAATACAGAGCTGCTCCAGCCGCATGACTGATGTTTCCCTAATTCTACAATAGACTTGTCATAGAGCAAGTGAAGCAGTCCCTGTTGTGGTCATAATATTTGAAGGATGATCTCTTCAAATGTTTTCCTGCCCTAAGGCCCCAGTCTGAGTCCCCTCCAGTACTGAAATTCAGGTGGTTACTTGACAGCCAGGCTTCTCCGTGAAAGCTCCAATTATTCCTTCTGCTCTGTGCTGTCACATGTATGGGAACAATGCATGTACCGAGCCAGCATTTTTTTTTCTTCTTTTAAATGTGGTTTAAGATTCCCATATGGAATAACTTTCACTTTGCTTTGTTCCACAGTACCATGGGCTCTGGGATTCCAGCTCACTAGATCCTAAACAAAAGGACATGACCAAGAAACCTAAGAAGAAATGTTGCAAAGGTCATTTGAGGGAACATCAGCCTAGCTCAGGAGGATGGCATCTCTCCAAGGACATCTTCAAGAGGGCTAATCGAGGTAGATCAATGCAAATATGTGGACAAAATACTCTTGCCATGAAAGGAAGAGAGGAAGGGAAAAGGGTAATCCTGTACCTCCTGATCAGCAGGAAGAGTAGAACTCAAGAAGAGTATACTAGTGAAAGAAGAGCTGGAGAGCTGAACATTTTGTTGTCAGAGTCACAGAAGCAAACAGATGCTTCCTACTCAGTCAAGATGAATACAAGCCTACATCAAAAAGCTTAGGTTTATCTGAGCACCTGATATATGCCCATGATTTTAATTCACTCTGAGATCTGACAGAAATATAAAATAATAGCCTAGACTCCCCTCAAGGCAGCCTCCTGGCTGTGATCTCTGCTCTTCTGTTCCGTAAGAAACACGAACCTATTGATGATCCCAACAGGCCTCTCAAAGGAAGATTGTCCATTAAAGAAATCTGTCTGCTGTAAGCTCTCTGGAGGTTAGGGAAGAAAGAATTCAGGGTGATCCTTTCATACCTCATTTGCATTTGTTGTTATCCTATCTCAGGGGTGAGTAACCTTTGGCTTTGAACTTCCTTTTGTGGTTCTAAAAACTTCTCCAACTAAACCACAAGTGCCACAGCTGGAAATGGACAGTGTGATTTCCCATCATTTTGAGGTGGCAAATGTAGCATGAGCCATAAAATAAACTCAATGTATTTGAGAAACAAAAATAGCCCGCTACCTCAAAAATGGAAATAAACATAGAAAATCCCAGGCTTGTCTCTTTTTTATCACCCTGTCAACTGTGTCCCTCAGCCTCCCCCAAATGGTCTCCCCCTGTCCTACCAGCTTCCTCATTCTTTCACTGTCATTGCTGTGGTTTGGTTTCTGCTGGGAAGCTTCGTCTTTCTTTAAACTTCTTTTGCAATCAAAATGTGAAAGCTCGACCCTTCTGTGCTCATTAGATTTTTATGATGCCATTTGTGGTGGTGGTGGGGGGGAACCTCCAGGGCAGGAATTTGCACAAGGACTTCATACAGAGATCGATGGAGAGACTGACTGTAGAAGACTTGATTGGATGGGAGATCCATTGTCATGTGCTTGGCAAATGGGACCCCACATGAGTCAGGGAGCATTAAAAAAAATGAGAGATTGCTCCTGTCAAATGAATGCTTCTCAGATAGCGTGGTGGCTGTTCTGCTTTCCTTTTGGCAGACAAATCTCTGAAAGAAGAGCAGAAGATGTGGGGCCTTTTCAGAAAATCTCCCCCTGGCAAGAAGAGACTTTCCAAAGAAACAATACACGAGAAGATTCTTAAGGCAAAAAAGTTGCTGATTAAAATGTAAATGGAGGGTTTTCTTTTTTCTTTTGTAATCTCTAAAGAAAGTAAGGTGTTGCAACCTGAATGAGCAGAGTTGCAGGTAGGGCAGTGGACGGTGGGAGGAATAGACACAGAACTTCGATTGCCTGTAAAAAAATTATGCCACTGCATAGAATTCTGCAAGGAAGAAACACACTACATTTGTTTTTTGAATATAAAATTGTCAAGGTCTTCAAGATTTTGCTTAGCTGAGTTGGGATAATGTTTATTTCAGTTTGGTTCATGAACTGATGATGCAAATGCAGCAAAGAACATAGCTCTGAGAGGAGCTCAGAGGTCAGAATGATGAAAGGAGTCCTGCGCTGTTGCCCTGAGAGCTCTGCGCCTTTTGTATGGAAGTGTGAGAACACAATGCATGGACAAAAGGGGCAGACCTTTAATCACAATGCGGTGATGCCCATTTGGTCATTTGCCTACCCCCTGAACCCCTATAGATGCCTCTGTGGTCATGGCTTTCAGAATGGACAAATCAGTCAATTGCTGGGAGCTCCAGACCTGACCTCCCTCCCCCTCACGTTTAGCATAATGAAACTGGATGAAGTCTTTGTCATAAAGATAGATGATGAAAAACAGAATAACATCTTGTGGTTTGCTTTCATTGATAATTACAGTAATTGTCTTTTCATGGCTATCTGAGTTGAGAAGTCCTAGAATAAAATCAGATATATTATCCTAACAGATTTATAAAAATCAGTCTTCTGTGGGTGCCCGCCCCAACTCTAGTTTTTATATATCTTGACCTTATGCTAGGTGATAGCCAGAACTCAGCCACGAACGTTAGCATCCACTTTTTTGCAACTGTAGGCTGATCAGTGCCTCAGCTGTGGTGAGTCTCTTTTGGAATGCTGGCTGTAAAGCCAATTCTGACCTCATTTGACCTGACCTGAGGGGACCGTGCATCAGACTACTAAGAGCAGAAGGGGAAGAGGGTATCCAGCTCTAGAAATAGGAGAATAGTCCACATTTAAATCACTCTTTGGGTCTATAACCTCATCTCAACTAGCTAGGTTGCATGTTTCATGCAGTGTCTGCTATCAGTGCTGTTGCTTATCTCTTGAACTTTAAGCAAGGACTTTTATCTTAACAAATATGACTCTACTTTGCCACTTTGATGTTTCTAAATAAACTCTTATTCCCCAGTGTGCGTTGGATTTATCAGCCTATCAAGCAGTTCTTCTACGACATCATTTATCCCAAGTATAGCCCAGTCTGTGATGTTTATGCTTTCATGTTCATCGTTGATGTGATTAATTTTATTATTGTCATCCTTGGCTATGGGGCTTTTGGGGTAAGTATCAGTGTGCATTGCTGTAATTCTAACAGAAAGAATATTTTTTGGTGGGTCTGGAAGGAAGCTTCACCCCAGAATTTCAAATAGAATTGCTAATGCTTCCTTCATTGATGAGGAAGAAATACTCATGATGTGCTCTTGATATGCTCAAAGGCATTTTGTTATTACGTCAGAAGCTCCAAATCCATGCATCAATTTTGAGAGCAATGTCAAGTTCAATGAAGCCAATGTTATACTAAATGGTCATAAAAGTCTCTAGTTATTTTTGCTGCAAGAATATATTGTATTCTTTGGGGTAGTTTTGGACTATTGGACCTAAGTTTAAATCCTCACTTAACTATGGAGTTCACTAGGTGACTTTGAGCCAATTATGATCTGTTAGCTTAATCTACCTCACAGGGTCATTGTGAGCATAAAATAAAGGATGACTACCTTGGATTGTAGAGGAGGATGGGATAGAAATGGGAAAGAAAGAAGAAGGAAGGAAGGAAGGAAGGAAGGAAGGAAGGAAGGAAGGAAGGAAGGAAGGAAGGAAGGAAGGAGGAAAGGAGGGAGGGAGGAGGGAGGGAGGAGGGAGGGAGGGAGG